TATATGTTCTTTGTGAATGGCTTCCTGCTCCCCACTCCCCAGTCCACTCTCCACTGAGATCTGTTATTCTGTTCCATGCATCCATATCTTTGGACCTATTTTGTTCATCAGTTTATTTTGTTCATTAGATTCCACATATAAGTGAGATCATGTGATATTTTCCTTTTTCTGACTGGCTATTTTGCTTAGCATAATACTCTCCAGGTCCATCCATGCTGTCCCAAAGGGTAAGAGCTCCTTTTTTATAGCTGCATAGTACTCTATTGTGTGAATGTACCACAGCTTTTTTATCCACTCATCTACTGATGAGCACTTGGGCTGTTTCCAGATCTTAGCTATTGTAAATAATGCTGCTTTGAATATAAAGGTGCATATATTCTTTCTGATAGGTGTTTCAGGATTCTTTGGTTATATTCCTAGAAGTGGGATTGATGGATCAAATGGCAGTTTAATTTTTAATTTTTTGAGGAACCTCCATACTGTTTTCCAGTCGCTGCACCAGTCTGCATTCCCACCAGCAGTGTATCAGGGTTCCCCTTTCTCCACATCCTCACCAGCATTTGTTATTTATTGATGTATTGATGATAGTGGTTCAAACAGGTATGAGGTTGTATCTCCTTTGTGGTTTTAATTTGCATTTCTGATGACTAGTGATGTTGAGTATGTTTTCATATGTCTCTTGGCCATCTGTATGTCCTCTTTGGAGAAGTGTCTATTTAGGTCCTTTGCTCATTTTTTATTGGATTGTTTGTCTTCCTGTTGTTGAGTTGTATGAGTTCTTTGTATATTTTGGAAATTAACCCCTAATCAGATGCATCATTGGCAAATATACTTTCCTATACAGCAGTTTCCCTTTTAAATCTGACATCCTTAAAAGAAAAAAAAACTGTTGTAATGGAAAATAGGTCAGTGTTAGAGATATGGTTAAGGTGTGGCTATAAAGGAATGATGTGAAGGAGATTTATGGGCAGTGAAAACTATTCTGTATAGTGGTGGTGGTTACTAGAATATCTACATGTGTTAAAATTCACTGAATTTTACACCAAAAGAAAAAAAGACAATTTTATTTTACAGTAATTTAAAAAAGACTTAAATTCAATTCTAATGGAACTTTTCTAGCCTATAGGATGTATCCTAAACTTCATAACATGAATTACAGAGCCCCCCTTGGTGGTAGTTCCTCAGCAATGGACCTGTTTCCCTCGGAAAGCCTAAGAATGTAGTTTTTTATGGGGGTAGCCTGAAATGTGGTTTTGAAGATCACAACTGTTTTGTCTCTAAGTAAGCGACAGTTTTAGTATTGGTAAGGCAATGATTTAGAAGATCTGGCTTCTTACCCTGGTGTAGCATTTTGTGGAATAATGTTCTATTTTAGCTTCATTTGTCTACCAATTAATTGTGACTAATAACTGGCTCTTCCAGGGTCTCTGTTGGTAGGGCAGAAATTGAACCATTTTTGATCCCAGGTCTCACCAATTTTGCATCTGAACAGAGCAGTCCACCCTACCTCAAACCCTTCTGGAAGGGTGAGGAGTACGTAATGTATGTGTTATGTGGCCAGACTGTATTGTCAAAAGTTCTTTAAGGTGCTTTTTGCATTTGTGCATCTATTTAGCAGTCATGGCTGTACTCCTCTACCTTACTTTCCCTCTCCAGTTCATTTCATTGAAATCTAGGTGCTGCAGAGAATTGGTTTCTAGAACAATTACAGTGGCAGGTGTTTCTCCACAGGATTGAACTGAATTGCAGCTAGGTTTTAGAACTTTTTGTGGCAGTCTGATGGAGATCATCCTGATGGAGATTCTTGGCTTGTGCTGCTGCTGTCCTCCCTTACCTGCCATCCCTACATGCATGTGGCTTGTTTAGAACTTGGATACCACCGAAACTCATCCACCATTTCCAATACCATTCATCTCCCTCCATCCTGAAGTAAATGATGAGACACTGGTGCTGATAATGTTTATCCATTTATTAAAATATTTTAAGAAGCAAAACTATTAACTTTCATTAACTTTGAAAACTGGTGTTCCATTTTTTTTGTGGGGAGGAGGAACAGGCAAACTTTGTGGACTTTTTCTTTCTGCTTTTTCCTGTTATCCCACAACTATCCCAGCTTCCACCCCCAACCAGCCCCTGGCCCTGCTGCTTATTTGCAGGGGCCTTTGAAAAAAGAAAAACATGGAACAGAAAACAACATAGATTACAAACTAGCAAATATACAGATGCAATCCAGGTCCTTTACAGGATGGAATGGTGCTAATGGATTTGGTTGCTTTGGTATTAGTTTCTGCTTCTTACGAAACTAAAATTATTCTACTTGTGTCCTGAGGGAAGATTATGTTGATCCCAACTGTCTTCTGATCAACCTTTAACCTAGTTTATTAAGTTGAAAATCTCTTATTCTTCCCCTGCCCTTTTGGACACAGTGCAGGTCCTTTTTGGAGAGAGGGCTGATAGCTGCTGGCTTATAGTATTGACACCAGAAGCAATTACTGGCAGTCCAAGTCTCTTGGTGTTTTTCTCCACTGTTCTTTCCAGGTATTGCCCACTCAATCCCTCAGAAAGTGCTACCAAAAATGCAACCAAACCCCAGAACTTTGGCTCTTAATGGCATCTCTGAACAAATTGAGGTGGGTATTTGATGTCTGGTCCTACCACCCGAGCAATTGTATTACTGTAAGTAGTTAATAATGAAGTCCTGAAAGGAGCTTATGCATCCAGAGGCTAAGCCAACTCCCTTGAGAAAGAGATCACCATTCCTTGCTTTGTTTGCAAGCTAGTATACGCAAGAACAGGTGCTCAGCAAGCTGTCTTCCTTTTGGGGAAGCAACTGGTAACTAAGCAATTTAGGAGATAACCAAGCGATTTAGCAAGCCACACCTGCTCCTGGGTCTAATCACCTATCAATTCTGCTCCATGAATTGACTTCAGCCTCAAATCCATGTTGTTTTGTTCAATATCATTCTGGCTCAGAGTGGGTGAAAGGGAATCCGAATGGTACAACAAAGCAACCATAGCACTACAGTGTACAAAGACATATCGTAAGTCAGCAAAGTTAGCACAGGAGATGGAGTCCTATTATAGTTTACTATCATCAGTTATAAAAAGAATTAGAAGACAAGGCCCTGTTTAGGCACTGCCAAGATAAGGCTACCCTCTCCCAGGATTTCCTTCTTTTTCCTTAAGTTTGCTCTTTTGGAAAATTTCCATTTTGGAAAAGGTTCTTCTGAGAAAAATGCAACTTGGTTCCCAACTCTGTGAGTAAGTGTGCAGGTGGTAATGTGTGCAGCCACAGAGGAACCAAGTCAGGCTGCAGTGGTGACCTTGCTGATTTAATTTAATACCTCCTCCTGGGAAGAAAGAATGATGCAGAGAAAGCCAAAGACACAGCAACAGCACATTCCCCACTCAAATATGTACAGTAAATTAACATATGCTGATGCTTAAATAAGTTTTCAATGTTTTATCTTTTCCATTAACGTTCTTCTGAAGTTGTAGAGTTAGAACTTCTTAATTTGTTTGGCACAGCAATCAGACATTTGGGGACTATCCCCTTGTTAGTACTTTTTCTCCTCACCCCTGCAGAAGTGAAACACAGGCAGCTGGTTTAAGTGGACTAGGCTGGTGGAATTCCAGAGCTGAGAAACAGTGGTTAGAGTCTGGATTGTGCACCTCAATGAACCAGCCTGGATGGAGTCAGGTAACTGAGCACACTAAGTTTGAGAAGTAGGGAGAGGCCAGTTTTCTGGCTTTCTTTTGATTAGTGGGAAGGGCCACTTAGCTAAAGGTGTGAGTTGAGGGTGGGATAGAGAATACAAGGCGGACCAGAGAGAATCTCTCTGGACACTGGAGTTTGATTAGGTTTGCTTGACTGGGAGTGGGCATTGAAACAATGTTAATTGGGATTGGGAGCAATTTTGGCACAGTTTGTTTTCATGAGAAATTTGGAAGAACCATGGGAGAAGCAAGGCTCTTGGCCTCCATTCTCTCAGGCCCATGTTCTTTCTGGTTACTCTGAATGCCCCTCTGTACTCAAGGGAAAGAGCAAGATGGGAAATTCAAAGATGATTTGGGAATCACCCAACAGCCTGTCCAGAAGATGCAAGCCCAGATGGAGCTTGTGCGGAAGGGCCTAGGTTGTTACTTGATTGTCAGGCAGTCCCTAGCTCAGGCATCTAAGTCACAGAGCTCAAGGACTGGTTGCTCCATATGGTCTTTTTATTGGGGAAGGAGACAGCACATGTCAGGGCAGTTGCTGATGTAGAGTCCAGAACAAATAGGGAAAAAAGGCAGCATGCCAGCTTAGGCCCCACTCTAGGGCATTAGTGTTTTGTTCTCCTTTCCATGGCCTGGCTCAGAATTTTAAAGGGGCGTCAGAATCAGCTGGGCTATAGGCAGATCCCAGGCACTTCAAAGACACTGAAAATGCACCAAAAGATTAGAAGTTCCACCAAGAAGTAGGGCAGTTGGTAGAGGTATATGTGTGTGTCCGTGTGTGTACGTGTGCATATGTGTAGGGTAATGGGGATGGGTGATGGGATCAGGGTGAGGAGTGATTCCTGTGTTAGCACAATAAATTATAGGGTCACTTAGAGGTCGAGTTGTATTCTCAGCTCTTAAAAATATATATATATATAATATATATATAATATATATAATATAAACATCTTTATGTCTCTATACATAATCTATACTGCAGCACAGCAGCAAAACATCGAGTTAAAAAATCCAGTAAGAATGCAGGCAAACACTCCATGGAAACATGCAGGCTAGGATCAAGGCAGTAGGAAGGGAGCCTGTATGATTGCCATAGGGGTGAATTCCAACCAATGCACCCACACAGCCACTAGAGCACCACCTGGACATGTGCAAAGACATACATGCACACATGGAAAAACAAAAAATTTGCAGAGAGCAGTCACTACATTTACAAGAAAAGATTTCACATGATTATTGTAATAGGCAAATGGACAAGCCCCCAGGACCTCGTTGTCATCTTAATAAACCAACTAGAAGAGACTTCCTGAAGTTGCAAGTTGCAACTGACAGGACTGGGGGAGAAAGACAACCAAGCCTGGCTATCCTGACCCCTCTCCTCATCTCCCTGAGAGTATATCATTCATTCCCTAGCATCAATAGTTTCTCTGCTAGTCAGAGAAAATCATTCCCAAACTCCCTGAAGAGGTGAACTACCTTGAATCCTTTGTAGATCCCAGGCCATTCGTAAAGAATGTAACCCAATTAAATACTGTAGTTGTTCAATGTGCACAAAGAGGAGAACTGAATAAGACAACTCGAAACAGGAATCTTTGGCCAATGAGATGATTTAAACCTCTAAGGAGACCTGATTGAGTCCAGAAAAAGTGTATTAGTATAAAGAATTAGAGGATCTTTCTTGGTGGTGCTCATGTTTGTTCTGAAATAATTTAGTCTAGCCTGTATTGAGGTTTTGAGAGTTTTTTAGTAGAATTCTAAATGTTGTGAGTTCTCCTTTCAGCTTTCAAGGGCTACAGTTGAGATCTTGATGATTTTGGAGGGTCATCATCTTTTGCTTCATCACGATTTCTGTGATGCCACAAATTTCCTTCAGAGAAAAAAACAAGTATAGAAATAATGAGGTTAGCACATTGCCAGATGTCCAAATGTATGGATCCTTAAGAGAGCAAACAAAGAGTCTGTTAGGAGACAGACTGGTTTATTTTTACTGTACCAACCACCTCTGAACCATCCAAGAAAACCAGCTGATACCATGTGAGCCAAAAACAAATGGGGTAAGTTCTCAGAACCTGAAAATCCATGGAACTTCAGAAAAGTAACTGCCTGTTATCATTCTTAAATACCATTGTCTCCTAACTGGCATATTCTTAGGGAATCAAACACCTTGGACCAAACTTGAGAAAACACAGCTTGGTCCAGGAGATTCTCTCATGATATTTGTGCAAACTCCCACTTCCTCAAAAACAAAACAAACTGACATCCTCCATTCCTTTTCCCCTATGTCTACTATTGCTATATCTTTCAAGCTTCCAGGTTGTCTAGGCCCAAAATTTAGGAGAGAACATTGACATCAGAATTGGCATAACTGACAACTCTAAAGAGAACCTTCTTTCGAGCCTCACTGACATATCAATAATGCATAAGTCCAATTTTGAAGATGGAATGGAACCAAAATTCAAATAATGCAAAATAGAAATTTTGTATTTCCAGGGACTTACTATAACAGATAGGGAGTAAAAATGTTTAGATAGGTCATGGAACCTGTTCCTAACCCTGTAGTTGCCCAGCACTGATATACTCCCAACCTATCTCAAATAATACTATTTTCTGGAAGAGGACTAAAATCTTGTAGTTGTATTTGACTGGGAGAGAGACCTAAGTATGATTATTTTGCCATACTTATCAACCCAGAACAGGAATGGGGCAAGCAGAAAAGGAATTGCCTGTTATCATTTTTCTCTTCAGTTATCTATATCACAGAAACTACACAGCAAGGTTCCTTCTCAGGTTCTCCTCCTGCTGTGTCCATATCACTTTCTAACTCACACCTTGTCCAAGAGATGGCTTAGTGTTGCCTAAGGTTGGCTCTCGGCCAGCCTCTTCCTCCATCACCACCATACCTGTGAATATTTCTAATTGGAGCTTCAGGTCTCTGGGAGATACCAGGGTTGCTGGGGAGGTCTTCATGACCCCTATCCCTGTGGGAGAGACTTACCAATAAAACGCTGGACCCGTTGGCCTGATTTAGGCTTGTCTTCCTCTTCTAGCTTCTTCTTCCTTGATTTGGGGAACTTAACTTTCGATATGAGGGTTCTACTGTCAATGTCTGAAGACTTTTCCTGGGAAACCACAGCAAGAGGAAGGTAAAAATGTTAGTTGCCTAACATTCAGATACAATTCCTGGAGGCCTGGCAAGATGATGAACAAGGATGGCAGCAGAAAGCAGGCAGATCTGCTACCTATCCAGGTGTGGGAGACACACTTAACCACTAGCCCTATGCCCTAGGGAGGCAACTGTTCTGTATCAAGATCCTACTCTCTGCCAGGTGCCTTGCTAGATACTTTATTTAAAAAATGCTCTCATATAAGCCCCCAAACAACTTTGCAAGGTAGCTATTATTACCCTTATTGTAGAAATGAGGAAGCAGAGGCTTGGAGAGGTAAAGTATGTCACCTGAGGTCTTGCATCTAACAATTAGTAGGGTGGGATTTCTAATGCCACTGCAGGCTCATGTGGCACCTCTGCATAAATTAGAAAAAATCACCCCTTCCTTCAAACATATAGTTTGGTAAAACCCAACTCATTCCCTTGGCCAAATAAATACCTCGCAATAAGGAAGAACCTGCCTCACAGGCCACCTGCTTCCCTGTCTAGAATACAAAGAAGGTTCTTTACACATATCTCTTAATTATGAATGTGGGTTCAGTGATGTATACAGATCATGCAGGCGCTTTAATTCCAGCTTAGCCTCCTATTCCTCTCGCTCCTGCAAAAGTGTGCTTGTTTTACTACTGGTCTCAGTAAAACATTATCCAAAGGTCCAGCCAAACACATTCCAAAAGCTTTGGGGTTTTCTTCTCTGCAATATTATGTATGCCTCTGATGCCTTCCATTAGAAGAAAAGTATAAACCTGTCCTCTTCCTCTCCCTGCTCTGGCTCCCACTTACCCTCTCTCCTCTGAGCTATGTGTAAGGACCTTCAGAATTGCCTTTGAGAAGAAACCTAAAGGAAGGGCACAGGACGTTGCCCCTCAGCCAAAGCCGTAGAAAGCTAAATGAATAATTGACTCATCCTGCTTTTTCCACCAAAGTGGATCTGAATCTTTTGTGGCCTTAAGATGAGCAATATTAGTGTCACATGAATGAGCAACATCTTCCTGGCTTTCTTTCAATCCACTCTTCCCTTCTTTAGAGCCTCACTTTATCGTTATGGTAATACTGAAATTCAGAAAAGAGATTCTGCCCCAGGCCAGGTCGACTCACATACTGAGATCTTAGGCCATGGGCAGTTTTTCTTATTTCTCTCAGTATCCAGTCCAGTTTCTTAGTTAGGGAGGTTGGTGAGATATAGCTGCACTGGGTAACAAGAGAAATAGGATGCTACATGGTTTGCTTCCTTTTCTGCATAACAGCGTGTTTTCCCCTCCTAGAGGGCTAGTGATTAAGAGCAGCAAAGTCATCATCAAAGGCATATGAGACAGTTATTAAGTCCTTTAGGACCTAAAGTTGTATGTGGCATTTTCTCTTAAACCGTAGCCTGGCCCAGCAGGGTGTGGCTCAGCGGTTGGGCCTCAACCTAAGATCCAGGAGTTAGCACTTTGATTCCCAGTCAGGGCACATGCCTGGGTTACGGGCTCAATCCCCAGTCAGGGGTGTGCAGGAGGCAGCTGATTAATGATGACTCTCTCATCATTGATGTTTCTATCTCTCTCCCCCTGTCTCTTCCTCTCTCTGAAGTCAATAAAGACATATTTAAACACACACACATATACACACACAAAACAGTAGCCTGATTGCTGCATGAGTCCAAACATGCATGTGTGGCTTGCTTACAACATGCATATAATTGGTGTATGGAGCCAGAAACAGGTATAATGAATAAGAGAACCAGGGATTCCTACAGTTTGAAATGAGCCATTCTATGGTGGGAATATTTAAAGAAAAACCCTGTAAGACCATAAAGGGAATAATTTACCTAGTAATAGGTGGACATTTTGGGGTCATTTGATTTATTTAATGGGACTATTTTTCAATCTCAGAGCTGTCCAAAAATGACAGCATCCCTACAACTATACTGCAGCCACTAGTGGCATGCTTGATTTGCTTTTAAGCCACACACCTTCTAGGGGTAGACCCTGGAGAGCCTACTATCCTCCCAGAGGGGGAGGGACAATAAGTAGCAGGGAGAGGTGATATTTGGAACATTTAACTACCGGTAAGGTCTGGGAACCAACCATTTAGACCAGAGGTTGGCTGTAAACAACTGGTATGGTCACAATGGTATGTACCAGATGAAATTCAGTCCTGGCAGCAGGTACTGAGCAGGGAGGGAAAATTGCAGCCAGGAGAATAGCACAGTAAAAAGAAAACTTGCTTGTTTTTTCCCAATCATTTCCTGCCACAGAGTAGTCCTTTCTGGTTACTTTCCCAAGGTCATCTAATTTTTTGGTGTTTTTTCTGTCTTGTCCTGTCTACTTATGATGAGGAGATGGGTGGAGGAGTCTCCATTAAGCTCAAGCCAAAAACCACTAACTGGACTCCCTCTGCTACATCAGTCATTGTCCTGGCCCACACTGGAAGGTAGAGCACCAAGGAAGAATCCCTCTTCCCCTTTATTTTCCAATCCCCAGGTCACATACCTCTGGAACAAAGATTGAATTCATCCAGTTGATCTCAGATAGTTTTTCAAACTCCTTATTCATGGCATCCAGGGTGGTTTGCAATGTGACCTCATCCTCAGCATTTCTCAACTGGTGAATACAGGAAAAAGTGAGTATCCAATGCCTAACACCCTGCCTTCACAGACTCTTGCCCTTTTCCCCACTCCTATTCCCTGCTAGTGGCCATGAGACCAAACTGTGTCAACTTGAATCTTTTTTGGCCTTGAGGTCATGGAAAAGAGTAGAGAGCTCTTTTCTTTCTCAATAGGGAGACCCCCCAAAAAACAACCAGATGCTGGGGCTTTCCTTGGGGCCTGAACATGCTCAGTTTGGCAAGCAGAAAGGTCCTTTGACCAAGGTCAATTAATACTGAGTTATACCCCTACAGTCTAGGGTCCAGGACAAGGGTCTCTATAAATAACAGCTACCAATTTTTGAGCACATACTATACGCCAGGCACCGTGCATTCATGGTTTCATTCCATCTTTCCAATAACTTTTCGATAGCTTGCAAAGTACTACTGTTCTCATTTTCCAGATGAGAAAACAGACTCAAAGAAATTTAGTGTTGAAAATCACATGGCTAGACAGGGACAGATCTGTTTAACTCTACAGCCTATCCTCTATACTGCACAGTCCCATAAAGATATGTGGGGTGGCTAGAGTTTTATATTCTATTTTCCTGTCCTTCTGGGGAATCTTTATTACATAGTTACTGCAATTTAAACGCTCCTTTGTGAAGCAAGGAGAGGCCTAGAGAGAGATTGGCTCAATTTTTCTTCCTGGCAAAGAGAGCCTGCCTCTTTTCAGGCTGTGCTTTAGCTCCTATCTATTCACTCTTAGTAAGAAATGAGTTCCAGATGGCTTGTCCCACAGGCTCAGGATAGTATTCCCTAGTAACCTCCAGCACCCACAGGGTGAACTCTGTTCAGCCCATGGAAGACTTAAAATGGATTATTCTGGGACCATCTCCGACTCAGACAAACCAAGTTCTAGACCAGCAACATAGGTGAGATAGTTCATATTCCAGTAAATAGTGAACTGGGAATATAGATACATGCTGATATTTTGAACCTGGACATGCTTTCCAGCCCACCTAACTTGGCCTCACCTTCCCCCACCCTGGCATGCACTCCACTTTCAACCTGGCCCTTATGTGGCTTCCTGCTGTGCACTGGTCAATTGATGCTCCAGCCATAAGTGGAACCTTGCCAACTGTCACAAATGGGTGGCAGGTGAATGGGTGGGGGATGAGGCTGGAGGTTATGGCCACTCAGAATGGGATATAAGAGAGAAACAAGTCAGTGCTGACAAATATCTCTTGATTTCATTTTACAGCTAATGATTTAGGACAGTACAGAGTAGCCCAGATGCACAGGACATTTGTGTATGCATGGCAGTGGGATGGGGGAGAGTGGGTGTCAGGTAGAAATGGCCATCACTTCAAGGTAAAGGGGAAAGGGGCAGGAAGTCCTTAGAGGCATATTTACCCAAAGGTACAGAAAAGAAAGGAATTTGGGGCCTTGGAAAATGATTCCTAAACATAATAGGGAAGGAATACAATGGCTTCCTAATGACTTCTTATTTGGCACCTGGAGACTCAGGCTCTGAAAAATAGTAGGTGGTGGGCCCGAGTTTTGTACTCTATTTTCCTGTCCTTCTGGCTCCAGTAGAAACCTTGTCCAGGACTCTTCTCTGACTTAAAGGACTTTGCTGCTTATTTCTTGGTTCCTGTCCCAACACATCACTAGCCATATCACAAATGAGGTTGCCAAATAAGGGAAGTGGGAGTTTCTGAGTGGGATTTACTTCATCACAAATCTACATCCCTCTGCCAACACTGAGCTCTGTAGTATCCTCCTTTGAGGGGAGGAATAACAATACCCAAATGAAATAAGTCTTATCTTCATGCTACCTCTATGACATAGCCTTTCTGGAGATACTTGGTCATTCTTAATTAGCTGCTGCCTGATCCCTGGCTTCATTTGGATGTGTGTATGTGTGGGGGTCCTTATCAGGTCTTATGTTAAAAATGCTATGAGCTCAATTTGGGTTGTTGGCCGGCAAGAACCAATATTCATGTCATGAGCCTCAAGAAAATTTGAGTGGCAATGAAAGTCCAAATTCCTACCAATTCCCATACTTCTTGTTGCCCAAACTGGCAAGGCCATTGAGTTCTGTCTAGCCCAGCTGGGCATGGCTCAGCGGTTGAACGGCGACCTAGGATCCAGGCGATCGGGGTTCGATTCCTGGTCAGGGCACATGCCCGGTTGCAGGCTCAATCAATGACTCTCTCATCGTTGATGTTTCTATCTCTCTGTCTCCCTCTCCTTTCCTCTCTCTGAAATCAATAAAGATATATTTTAAAAAAAGAGTTCTGTCTGTTGCTATTGTCTAAGGCTGAAAGACTCTAGCTTGGAGTTCAGATGTTGGGTCAGCCTGACCTGATTGCCTTAGCCTCTCCACTCCCTGTGCAGTGTGCAAATCAGATGTGTAAATGGAAAAGGGGAAGTGGATGAACTTCTTGGAATATCAACTCAGAAGCCCCTCTTCAAATAAACCGTAATTAGATGATAAGCAAGAACAGCACCTGCTGCATGACCTTAACAGCTAACCCCCAAATGGGGTAGTCATGATCAGCTGAATCATCAGAGCACACTCACTAAGTGTGCCTACGGGCTTTGCCTTCTGTGAAACACTCAGCTATTCTTGTAGCTCAAAAACTGAGCCTCAGTCTGTTTTCATTAAGACTAATAAAATTTCTATCAAGCTGCTACTATGTGCTAGGCACAGAGAGCTTGGCACTTAATATTCAATAATTGGTTTAATGCTCACAACAACCTGGGAAGGTAGAGATAACAATTTCTATTTTGTAGATAGGACAATTGAGATCCAGAGAGGTGAAATTATTTCACGCAGCTAGTGTTATGGATTCAACTGTGTCCCTATCCCCCCCAAAAGAGTTATGTTGAAATTCTAACTCCAGTATCTCAGAATGTGACCTTATTTAGAAATAGGGCCATTGCTAATGTAATTGATTTTTAAGATGAGGTCATACTGCAGTAGGGTAGGCCCCTGATCCATTATGACTGGTATCCTTATAAGAAGATGGCCATTTGAAGACAGAGAGACAAAGGGAGAATATTACATGAAGGTGGAGGATTGGAGTAATGTATCTACAAGACAAGGAACAACAAAGGTTGCCAGCAAGTCACTAGAAGATAAGAAGAAGCAAGGAAGGATTCCCATATAGGTTTCAGGGGGAATATGACCCTGTTGACACCTTGATTTCAGGTTTCTAGCCTACAGAACTGTGAGACAATGAATTTCTGTTGTTTTTGGTTACCCGGAATTTAGTACTTTGTTGTTTCAGCAGCCTTAGGAAATATAGCTAGTAAGGAGCACATTTAAGATTTGAACTCAGAGTCTCCCAACTTTTTCCACTATTCCCTGCTGTCTTCCCACATGGTGGTATGTGGTATGCAGACACTTGGGAGATACAGAGCAGCTCAAAAGAGCTTACTTTTTTTTTTCTTATTTGTTAATCTTCACCCATGGGTAATTTTTTCCATTGATTTTTAGAGAGAGTAGAAGGGAAGGAGGAAGGGGGAGACAGAGAGAAAAAAACCACATTGATATGAGAGAGACACATCGATTGGTTGCCTCCTACACATGTCCTAACCAGGGCCAGGGAGCGAACCTGCAACCCAGAGATGTGCCCTTGACTGGGAATCGAACCTGTGCCCTTGGGTGCACAGGCTGACTCTCTAACCACTGAGCCACACCAGCCATGGTGAGCTCACTTTTTTCTACTGAAGCTGTTTTAGGTATGATGAGAACAACCTACTTTTGATTGGTCTGGACCCAGGAGACATTTGCCAAAGGAGAGAGGGAGACTTTTCTTCAAAGATATGGTAGTTCCAATGGAATAGTATAACCTATGAAGTGATACAATCAATGACAACCCTGGGTGAGTATAGCACATTAGGGACTGGCAGCTAAGCACCTGGCTAAAATGCTCTTCCATGTCTTCCAATTCCCTAGAGCCAAGCATGGACCATGACCATCTTCAGATGGGATACTTTGCCCTCCCTTGTTCCAACCCCCTCCACTCACCAAGTTTTCATCCAGGAAAGCTTTGGTGTCATCGTAGAGCCCTTTAAGACTAAATGTAACATCTACTGCGTCATTTCTGCTTAGAGTCTGAGAGGAGAAGAATGGAAAAGAAAGGAAGGGAAAGGACAAAGAGGAGTTGTTGGTTAGTAAGCATGCAGCAGCTGACTTCTCTCTAGGAAGGGTGTAACAGGCTAGTAGGATGTGACTGCAGGTAAAAAAGTAATATTCAAAATATAATACAGCTAGTACCACATGGGCACCGGCCAATTGATGCCAGCTATCAACTACTGTAGCTGTATTGGCGAATCTTTTGAAGTGGAACAGCACAATTTGGCATCATTGATTGAGTGGTATGGGTATAGGGAAATAGGAAATATTCAAACCAGAGAGTAAATTTGAAGCTACTTGCTGCCACTGGGCTAAAACTATCTTTCTCATGGTAAATGAAGTTAGGCCCAACCATCTCTCTTCTTGAAACTTAATGCCTTGAGCTCCAGGCCTCCTCCAAGTAGGATCTGGCCCAAAATATATATGTAACCCACATTTTAAGGGGCCCTGACCCTATCTGTAGCCCTTTTGTATCATTTGCCTAACACTAAAATAATTTTTAAAAAGCATCCTGTAAATCTTCTGGCAGTGGGTAAAGTCATGGAATGGCATATTTAACATCAAGTATTCTAATCTGGACATTTTCCCTCAAGAGGGAAACCAAGGCAGCCTGGAGCTCAGGTTTCAATGACAGGTATCACCTTAACAGGTTACATGGGATGAGGAAGGGCCAAGGCCAAGTTTCTCTCTATTCACTTTCCATTTCTCCCCTGAGGCCCATGTGGTAGGTGGCTATCAGAGAAGAATGCTAGCTCTCAGATGATGGAATCTGCTATGGGATTCCCCAAGTAGCCACTCTGGACCTGTAACAGTCAAGAAATACCTGCCTTCCCTTCCACTGTCCATCAGTTTTCTGACATATCATTTGCCCAGTTTCTCCACCCAACCTATGGCTCCCCTTTCTTCCTTTTCATCTCCTTTCCTATTTGGCTTGACTCTTTCCTTCACATGCCCTTTGCCCCCTTACCTCAATGGGAGTACAGGAAGCTGCACCTGCCTCATTGCTGCTGTCTTGGCCATAAAATGTATCATTCAAGATTTTGGCACTGGTGTTCACAGAATCCATGAGGACAGACACATGCTGATGGACCTTGCTCAGGTTAGTAAGTCTGTAGTAAAACAAGGACTGATAGATGAGTCTGGAGTTCTGAAGGACATCTGTCCTGGGGTACTGTTGAGGTACCCTGGGTACCCAAATTTGTACCCTCCTGTTATTTCTATTTGTCTCTAGGTAGCCACCTATGCCAAAAAATGTTTCTGTTCTAGATATTCATCTTTGTCCATCCTTGTTTCACCTGTATTAGATATTGGGTGCTTTGAGGCAGTAGGAGGCCAAAATAGGGGAGGGTAGATAACTCCAGGAACTCCAAGGCCCTCCTGATATTTAAGGGCAAGGATAAACATTCTCATTCTTGTTGGGTCTGAGAAAGTAGGAGGAGATCGAAGTTCCTCTCTGGGTCTAATGGGAGAGGTTCAAGCTGGCTTATTGCTGAACACAAAGACCATTTCCTATCTGAACTATCAGGGTCCCTGTCAAACTTCAGAGCTCTGGGTAAGACTCCTTTCTGAGATCAAGCTCCACAGTAGCCAATAGACACAAACTGGCTTCTTCCTATCCCTTTTTAGGATTCTCAGCCCTGTATCTGGGCTAGTTCCACTTACCTGCTGATGAGGTTTTCTGCAAGCTGAGCTAAGTGCTCCATATGGGCAGACTCATCATCAGAGAGGCTACCTTCAGATTCCTGGGAGTCCAACTGGGGTTGAGAGGCAGCTTGAATTTCAGTATGCTTGGACTCCCACATTTTCATTGAGTTCTCAAAGTCCTAGAGATGAAGACAGTAGCAGATCCTAGTGATTGCTGTAGCTAAGAGGGCATGTGACAGATCTGTCTGTGAGTCTGAAATTTGTGAGTATAGTGGGTAAAGGGAAAAGAGGGCCCCCATTCCCTCATACACTCACCTGCATACCTATACACCTATCCATCATTTTATTCAATGTCTTTCTGTACTAGGCATTTTTTGTTTTTGCTATTGTTGTTACTAATGTGAATCTTGGGACAATACACTTCAATCAGATAGATGTCTGCCTTCCAGAAACTCCTATGTGATGGCATCATTATCAATAAGACAGTGGAGCACCTTTCATGTTCCCTTCTTTGCCAAGTCTAAGCAATATGTTGTGATGGATTTTAGAGCCATAAATATCTAATTTAATTTTGAATCATCTTTCTATCACTTACTGCTTGTATGACCTTTAGCAAGTTATTTAACCTCTTTTGTCCTCATTTTCTTCACCTGTAAAATGGGAATAAGTGTATCATCTCATAGAATTGTTGGGAGGACCTACTTGAGAGAATACATCTAAACTACCCAGCACAAAGTAGGCAGTGTATAAACTAGACTTCCCCTCCCCTCTCTATTGATGCTTCTATGGACTGTCTTCAGGTCAGAATGGAAGAAAGCCTCCAAGCACTGAACATCTGATCACTAATGACTCCTTTCTAGTTTTACATTGTTTAGCACAAGTGGGTGACATTTGTGAATGCAGCATTTTAAGGAACCTTAGAGGAACCTAAATACCATGGTCAATGAAGAATCTCTTGTTGAAAGAGCAGATTCCTCCATAACTACCCAAGGTCTTTAGCTCTATGTCCTCTGTGAGAGAGGACAGCTTTGTCTACAACCATAGATGGTAGGTTTTTTATCTCACTCCCTAAGACAGTGGTTTGAAAATACCAGTATATATCAAAATGTCTCAGGGGACTTTTTAAAAAATGAAACTTCCCAGAAACTACCCATCCCCATTCTGATTCATTGGGTCTGGTGTGGAGCCCAGGAATGTGCATTTCTAGCAAGCACTCTTTGAGGAATTCTGCCTGACTGGAAGCATTCAGTACTCAGTGAAAGTTGTAGATGAGGCAATGTAGGAGCCTGAGACAAGCCTTTCCTTTCTTACCCGATCTCTTGTCAGCATCTGGGCAGCATTCTTGTATCTAATCTTGATAAGGCCTGGCCTCTGAACCCAGGCCTCCCCATCCACTTGAACTGGGATACCTTCTTCACCATTAATGGTTATCATCACCTCACGGCACTGCCAAAGAAGAGGAGGGAGAATGGGGCAAAAAAATGAGGCAACTACTGTAGACCAATCTGATAATCCCACAGTCATGGCTGTAATGTGTATCTGAAGCAGGACTGGCAAGGATGTGTGAATCAGATTATCTCAGGGATGTAACACCTGCTATCTATGGGCTTTTTGCTCATTCAGTTCTTACCACCTCTGTCTCCAACCTTAGCCAGCACCTTTTTGCTCTTTCAGTTCCTACCACCTCTGTCTCCAACCTTAGCTGGCACCTTGCTGTCCACCAGAAAAACTTATCCCTCCACCCTGATACTATACCCAGTTAATTTCTGGGACAACTCCATATCCTGGGTTGTAGCCACAGAGTTCAGTCCCTTTCTGGTGCCCACCCAGCCCCTGCCTACCTGAGCAATGCGATGATGATGTAGATTGATGACACGGGACATTGCCATCTGTATGGAACCAAAGATTGCTACTACCTCCAGCTTCCCATCATCTATTGCAGGAGCCTCATATTCCTGGGGAGGAAGAATTGTGTTACATATCCCCTTGAGAAACCATACCTTGTCTATCACAAAGCAGGCATGCTTTGAAAGCTCCTGTGAGAATTTTTCTAGCTCACGAAGAGTGGAATAACTATATATTGAAAAGGGAGAGATATGGTCAGGGATCCCATCTGGGAAAAAGGCACTGAAATCATAACTCTTAGTCCATTTTGAGATCACAGCTCTGAGCTGGTTCCCTCCCTGTCTAATCTAGCATCGTAAATGCCCAAGGCCAGTCCCATTGGCCTCATGGCCTTCTTGGGTGAGCTCAGAGGAAAAAGGTCATGGCCGGTTTCCCAAGAGATTTTAATGATAGACCTCCTTGGAGAAAAAAACATGGTCTAGATAGCCTTTCAATGATCTGTCAAGCCTGAGAAATGGAAAATAATTCAGTTTAGGCAACACCTAAGAATTGATCTGATCCTGAAGTCTTTGGTTGATTATTTTTTTGTGTTCTGAAATGCTAATTGCCTTTTAAAAAACTGCTTATACAGCTGCTACTAATAAAGGTTCCCATCCCACCCCTTCTCCCCCTATTGTCCACTTTCTTTCTACCCCAGTGAGTCCAACTCTCCTTTCTGAGAGATTTTAAAGGGGCCAAACATTTCTCCCTCCCTGTTCCTCATTTCTTACTTACTGTGGTTGCTGTGTTGCTTCCCCAGAAGTTGATGCCTCCAGCATAGCTGGTGATGTTGAGCACTACAATGCCTTGCAGGTTTGGTAAGGCGATAGCTTCTCCATCACACTGAAAGAAACAAATGTGAAGGGACATTTACAGAGATAGGGGAAGGGCTCTGTCTTCTCTTCATGCTATCATTTTCTTATCCATAAAATGGAAATCTATCCCCATACCTTCTTCCCATGAGCTATGAGTGAGGATCAGAGTTAAAGCTCAGAGGAAACCAAGAATACTGGGGAAAGTTGATTCCCAAGGTCATGAGATTTCTTTTTTCTATGCCCAGGAAGGATTACCCTCTTTTCCACTAACCTCCAGGTGCACTCGTTCTTCCAGTTTCCTGTAAGAGCGTTGCAAAAGTTCCTTGCTTCCCAAAAGGCCATACCATATCTTGTTCTTAAGGCGGCTACTATAGGGAGATAAGGGTAGAGAAAGGTAGCCACAAGGTGAACAATATAAAGATAAATGAGGAAAAGCAAGAGGGGACCCCATTTTATTCCTCAAGTGCCTTTGTATAGAGAGGAGTCATATTGAATGGTAAGTGAACACAAGAGGATGGTGTAACTGGTGTCCCCATTCAAACACCTGCTGAAACTTCAGCATTCCATCAGTAGGTAAATTTGTCACTTTTCCATGCTATTGATATTGATTCAGACTTGGAAGAGACGGCCAATATTCAGAAAGTAATGCTAATAAAAAGCTGTGATCATAGCCCTAGCTGGTTTTGCTCAGTGGTTAGAGCATCAGCCCACGGACTAAAGGGTCCCAGGTTCAATTCTGGCCAAAGGCACCTACCTCAGTTGTAGGCTTGATCCCCGGCTCTTGTTGGGGCTAGAGTGGGAGGCAACCAGTCGATATGTTTCTCTCACATCATTGTTTCTCTCTCTCTCTCTCTCTCTCTCTCTCTCTCTCTCTC